AGCCGGCTGCCACAACCAAGCAGTTCGATGCTCACAACCAATTCATTCTCAACCAGGATAATCTGGTCACCACGACCAACCCTTTTTTTTCCGTGCGTCGAGTTCAATGAAAACCCTGCTGCCCACCATTTCCTATCCTTCCTCGCCTTTTTCCTCCCTCCTTTCCTTCTTTCGCACACACGCACGCACTTACACAGAGAGTCGTTCACTTCGAAGCGATCCAGTTCCCAACTCGGTGGCATTGGCACCAAACATAGCGATACGAGAACGGGCGGCACACCGCGTCTCAATGTTGGCCAGTGCTGAGACGCGAGCGACTGCGCCCGAGCGAGCGCGTGCGTTGAAAAACTACTGATAACTTTTGAGAAAGAAAAAAAGAGCGCATTTTCCAAGAGTGAAATACTATTGTCCAAGCGAGATCATCAGGTTTGCAGAGGATGACTACGAAAAACCCTCTTCGTTAGATCGAGGAACGTCTCACCAATGCACATGAGAGTAACAAAAACATTTGCAAAGCCACTGTTACGCACGAGGTCTATGGCATGTCTCACCCAGTGGTTTGCACTTGCACTCCAATATAACACAAGTGACACACGACATATGTACGCCAAAATACGCATGGACGTTTCGTGTATGCGAAGTAGCGGTAAAATTTGCGGTGGAACTCGTCCGTTGTCGTTCAGTCAGGCAGGCCGTGCACGTCCGTAACCTCAAGCTCAGCCGAAGCACACCGGCCCGACTGGTTCGCTCCGCAGTGCGGCCGCAGTGCCCGTCGCGCTTGAGCCGGCACCGTCGATTAGAGAAAATAATCATAATTTATCATCATACCAGGGGCTGCTGCGGAATTTGATGACTGCTGCGCTTTTTGCGCAATTGCGATTTTAATTTTTTTTTCAAGTGTACAGACGACGACAGAGACAGCAAGTAACATATATTTGACTCATGTCCCACCCCCTAAATTAATTAAAATTAAATTGTTTTGCCCTTTTATTGCCGTGCATCGTGGTCTAATTTACCAGGGCTGCGTAGATCAGGCCGGATTCCGAAATGACAGGGGAGAAGCGCCTCATCTCACTTATGCAGGCGACCGGGAGACGGTTCTGTGAGAGAGGGAGAGGGGGAGTCGACGGGGCTGCGAGGTTAGTGCGAGAAGGAGACGCACTCAGATGCTAGGGTTGTGAGCTTCCTCTCGCTCTGTCTCTCTCGCACGCAATACTTTGATCGACTACGTCGCTGAACGTTGTACGAACGGAACGAAAATGACCGGAACGGAACGGAGCGACGGGGAGCCTGCAATAGGGGTCTCATATAATTAGTGACCTTGCGAGCGGCGGCGAGAGGCGGCCTCGACAACCAGCCCGCAACTGCTAACTTATTTTCGATCTCGCGAAAATGCACCGCAATAAGTTGAAGACGTTTGTGATACACTTTTCTTCCAGGGAGTCACACAGCCGTTGTTGTCATTATGCGTGGTGCGCATGAAGCTAAATATTGTGATCTCGCCGAACCTATTACAAATTTTCGAAAAATAGTGTCGTCATAGAACCAGATGCGTAAACTCACACACGTGTATGCACGCACGGCTGAAGCCCGGGCAGCACAGACAATGCAAAAAGTCTAAAATGAAGAACCGCGGAATTTCCCAGCGGCTTCATTTTTCGCAATCAAGACTGGGCGCCCCTGGGCCCCGGCAAACGAGCTTGCCTTCTTCACCCGCATGAAAATGTACAATGGCGCCCGCGCACAGCTCCAGCCCCCTTCCCCCCTCGCCTGTTTGTGGCTAACAGAGTGAGTATTGCTCGCGGACTTCAAGGAACAGCAAGGAGAGAGAGGGAGAAAGGGAGAGGGGGAGCGGGAGGGAAGAGAGGGGGGAGAGAAAAAAGTAACTTTTACCCTTTTCCAGTCAGTGCTTCTGTGCAAAAGTTTCGCGTGGCCGTGCGCCTGCACCTGCCAGTGCAGAGTTAGGCCCTCCAGCGCGGCGGCGCCCTGCGGTCGTTTCCTGGCGCCGCGCCGCCCGGCACCGCCCCGCGCGCAACAGTTTCCATGGACTTGACCACATCAGCACTCCCCGGCCAGCGCCAGGCAGCGCCAGGCAGCGCCCCGCCACGGTGGCAGGCAAGGCGGGCGTTGGACGCGTTTCCCTGAAAAAAAGTTAACGCCACAGCTACCGTTGACCGCCGCCGCCATCGAAGCCCAAGCAAAGAGTCGCACGCGTGAGTCGACAAAAATACAGGTGGCGGTGTTGGTGGCGGCGGAGGGCACGCGGACCACTACCACTACGACGAGAGGAAGCCGCCAACTCGCAAACCACCATACGGTAAATAAAGTTCTTCGAATTACAAAACCCCCGTCTTCGATCTTATGGAGAACGCCATTGGCATCTAAGACCAGATTTTGAAATTCCAGAAACCTATCTTTAACCATGCCGTGCACAAAGATAAAATCGTACTTACTTCAAGGTCGAAGTCGGGCCGTGTAACGGCCATAATCACACACTGAAATCTAATGAATTTTCTTACTTTGGGCTAAGGGATTTCTGTCTACAGTTTAGTTTAAAGTTCAGAGTTAAATGTTCATGAAACGCATCAGATGTGTATGCGCCAAAATCTCTGATAAGCTATAGACGCTCAGAGAAAACCCCTTGCCATTCACCGACGCGTGGGTCAGAAAAAATATAAATTATTCAAACCAAACATGCCACACCTCCCTTCGTCGAAAAAACAATTCGGTGAGAGGATCAGAGACCCGTCGGCCGGTAAGAGCTCTCGCCCCATCATCCTCTTATCAGTCATTGGCAGATAATGAGCAGAAAATGCCACCGGGATGTGGTGTCAGTGTGTGAGAGAAAACGAGATAGAACTCCTTTTTGTACCCCCCCTACCCCCCGCTCCCTCCTTCTCTCTCCTGTTCAAAGTGAACCTGTAGTGTGCCTTTCCCTCCCAACTGCCGTTTGGATCCGAACCAATCACTCTTATCTGGCCGCCCTGCCCTCTGCTAAGCCTCCCCCTTCCCCCCTGCCCCGCCGCGCCCGGAGCACTAAAAGCATCCTTTATATACGCCATTATGCACGAGGAGATGCACCCATGCGCCCGGCCGGCCCGCTCCGCCTCCTGACCCGGAGGGCCCAGCAGCAGCGCCTTGGGCTCGCCAACCTAGCACGGTAGGGGGAGAGAATTGAATTAAAATCATTTTGAGTATTGCATCATAGGACTGGAGTCACATTGGGCTAAACAACCCACACAGTTAAAGTCTTACGAAGCAAAATGCCAAATGCTTCGTACCTACGAAGGATTTTCTCCTTACCAAGCGTCTAAATCCTTCGTATTACAAAGGATTTGGCATTTTTCTTCGTAAGACTTTAACAGTGCACTCTCTGCAAAATTATGTCAACTTAACTAACAATTTAAAATATTTTAGAAATTTGCACAGGTGAACATAACACAAATCAACAGTGTAGGATGACAGAATGAAGCTTTTGACTTTAAATTTGAAAGTTGAGTACGAGTAGTTGTTTAGATCACAAAACTTTAAACTGTTATATATTTTTTTAAACACCCAGTTTTTGCAGACATTTTAGAT